CAGCCAAGAAGGAGAGAAAATGAAAACCAGACAGGGAGACACGCCCTCCAGTCATGCCCATGACCTGTCTCTCCCAAGCAAATCCCACATCTCCAAAGAGGGAGTCAGCCATAATGCCACATAATCCAATCACGTTCCAAACACAGGAGGCTCTGGGGATCATTTTAGATTGAAATTGTAACAGTGACTTACTGTCTTCACTGATTTTCTGTTATCAATTTCATTCATTTCTGGTTTTTGTTATTATTTCCTTATTTCTGCTCCCTTTGAGTTTATCCCTTTTTCCCTTCCCCTAAAGTAGAAGTACAAACATAAGTCACAGGTTTGAAATCTGTTTTCTAATAAATTATGAACTTTAAATCTATATTGAAATAATGGCATCCAAAGGCAAACAAAGATTTCACTAAGTGAAATTTTGTTTAAATTCAAGTTTTTTGAGTACATTAACTGCTATGTAAAAAAAAAAAAAAAAAAAGTTATAAAAAAAAAAAATCAGCCCAGGCATGGTGGCACACAGCTGTATTCCCAGGGCACAGGGGAGTAAGGCAGTAGAATCCCTGTGGGTTCAAGGCCAGCCTGGGCTATACAGTGAGTCCAAGGCCAACCTGAGCTACACAGTGAGAACTTGTCTCAAAAAATAAATGAAAATCAAAGGAGACTTGTGAAGACTTGCTAACTGAATTTTTAAAAATATAAGCATATGCATTTATTCATCTTCCTTTTAGTGGAAAAGCTCAGCACATATGCATAAATCCACAGGATTGCTGATGTAATCCAAAACATAAAACATATATATATATATATATATATATATATATGAATTTGGCTATTTTCTTAAGCAAGGGGCAAGGGGGAACAAAAACCTCTAAAAAAAGGTATTCTACCTCTAAGACACAGAGAAAGCCTGTATGTATGAGTAAACACATACTACTACACTTCAAAAGTAGAACTTGAAAAGGTTAAGCGATTTGCCCAAGCAACATACCAGATTAGCACTATAACTGGCAATTCTTCTGAGTTTCACCAGAAATTTCCTTTTAATTGAATTCCCTTTCCAAAGGTGTTATCAAAAAAATTCTAGTCATTGAGAGTGAGTCATAGAAAAGATAAAAATTATTTTAAAAGGTTAGTTTCACAATACATATTTCAATGTCTTTGTGATTAATTTAATTGAGGTGTAAGGTATTAGTATTAGGTGCTGTTATACTTTGCTGTTCTGGAAGGAATGTGTTAAGTCACACAAAGTAAATACCCAATTCTCAGAAGTAACAGATCCAATAAGAAGAAAATCCTTGGTTTCTGGAGCAGTTACCATGGAAGAATATATTCTTGTTCTTGACTAGAGAATCAGGGAAAAATAACTCCTGGCCATAAGCAGAGCTGGTCAAAATAAACAGCTGCTTAATTCTATCATGTGTTCAGGTCCTATAAATTCCACAGCTTCCACCAGCAGAAAAAGTGGGGAAGAAAGAAATTATACAACTATACTATAAACTATAGTATCTAAACATGTACTACCATAGTGCCTACCTATTACGGATTATATCCATATGGTTAGACCATAAAGTATCCCTTCAGATCAAAGGTGAAGGACATCAGGAAGGTGTTCCAATTTACATCTAATGATGCCCCAAAGCCTCATGCATTCACAGGTGTGGCTTTTGGGAGGTGACTGGACATGGGCATGTGATACTCATCAGTAGATTAATCCACTGATGAGTTTATGGCTGACTTACTCTTCGGAAGTGAGATCTCGCCAGAAGCGGTAAGTCACTGTGAGTGTAGCCAATAGGGTTTATCTTCCCTCCTCCCTTGGCTGGCTATCTGCTCTCTTGCTGCCATGTTGTAAATAACCCTCTTCTGCTACACTTGTCTGTCATGCTTCTTGACTTGCAGCCAGAGGAGCATGCACTGAAATCTACCAAGTGTGAACCAAAACAAGCCTCTTTTTCTCTAAGTTACAGCAGTCAGGAATTGTGTCTCAGTGATAACGAAGTGACAAGACAAAGAGAAAGCTGTTGGTGCTGTTGTTTTCTTGATTTATTACTGTCATAAATAAATAAAGCCCTACCTAACCTAAAAAGCATGAGTGCTAAGAACATCTTACTCAGCTGATTCAGAAAATGACTGAATGAAAATTAGGATAACTTACTTCCTCTGTGCAATTATTTACCTACTGCCTCTCAACTACTTTTCTATGTTCTATTCAGTGGTACAAGGCTTAAGAATCTGCATATCATATATCCTACACTTCAATGCCAGCTGGCTTTCAGGTAGGGTTCTACCCATCATAACAGTTAAACAGTGATATGGAGGTCGAAGGTAGAACAAAAGAAGAAGGGAATGCACTCCCAACACAAACTATACTCCAATCCTTGAGAAACACAATATCAGTCAGGCTTTCCCAGAAGCATCAGTACCAACCATAAAACACTCTCCTATTAAATTATGAGGTCAAGGTATTCTCCTAAATTAAAGAGCTAATCAAGTATCTCCTCTCCAGATAGTTCCTTCTAAATCCTAAGAGACCTGAGTATCCTCAAGACTCTAAGCAACAAGTTGTGCAATCTTCAGAAGTCCCTGTAATAGCTCCTTGATCTTCTATGAGTTCCTAGATTCTGGTTACAAATAACTCTTGCATTTCATTCCGTTAGTCCTTCAAAGCTCACAGCTGTTTTCTACTATGTTACTTATTTCACCATCTTGTTTCTGTCCTTCCAGCCCTAAAACACTGTAAAGTAGTTCTTTGCATTAAAACCCCTCTGAAAAGCCTAGTGTGATTTCTGTTTTCCAGCTTGGATGTTTGTCTCTGACAAGGCTAGTCTGTGATTGATTAGGTTTCCTTTTGATTGGGATAGTAATTTCTCTTTGACTAGGTTAGTTTCAACCCTCAATATGCAGAAAAATAACAGTAATGCAAATTATTTATATCAACAGCTGTTGAAATGATTCTTGTTCATGAAGGTGTAAATGAACTAAGAGGTAAAGTACATAAATCTCTAAGTCAAGCCTCATTTTGATTGGTAGTAAGATCTTTCTGGTTCTCCATTAATTAATGAGTTAAACATACTCTTTGAAATGTGTTCATATTATATTTGTATTAGCAAGGATAAATAAAACTTTCTGTGAAGATTCAGCTGACATTTCCATCTACTCAGGATAGTTCCTTAAAAAGTAACAGACTCAGGCCAGCCAGATAGCTCAGTGGATCAAAGTGCCTGCTTAGGCAGGCACAGGAACCAGGGTTCAATCCCTGGCATGCTGTGCCAGCCTCGCCTCCAGGGGTGCACTGAGATGGTAATTGAGACTGGGCGTGGTGGCATGCCTGTAATCCCAGAGCTTGAGAAGCTGAAAACAGGTGTATCACTACAAATCCAATCCACTAGTGAGACCCTGAACACGCTGTAGACCCTTTCCTAAAATAAAATAATAAATTATAGCAACATAACAACAGTCAGTTAATTTTAAGAACTTGAATATCATAAATATAAACAACATTTATTTCAATAAATATAAACAGGGGCCAGGGAGATGGCTCAGTAGAATAAGTGCTTGCCTGGCAAGCACAAGGGCCTGAGTTCAATCCCCGGTTCCGCAAAAAATAAATAAATAAATATAAACAATGTATCTTTTTACAGTTCCAAGTAAAATATTCCCTAATATAAAATAGTATTTAAACACAAAGACTAAAACAGACTAAATTACAGTTTACAGTTACTGGCAAAATGAATAAATCTAAACTCTAAAGTCCCTTTCAGTATCAACAAATATGGAAAAGAAATAAACATAACCCTTTAACAATAGATATTTAAGTTTGTTTGCAATGTAGCACAAAACTGACAACTCTAATGTTATACCTGAATAGAATAATATGGCAAATGTATTTTCTGAAACTAAGAATATATGGAAGACCTAGCCAAACATAAAGAGTGGCTATTAATTCTACTGTAATTATTATGTTTTATTAATGTTTGTTTATTAATCTTTGTTTTAGGTTAATAATTTCCTTGTGAGGTTGGTACATGTATACCATAAATCTTTTTTTTTTTTGTCTCTTAACTTTCTTCTTTTTTTTTTCCAAAGTTTTATTGATAAACAGCAATGAGACAGTTTCAAATCAAATCGGAAGTACAGTTTCAACAAATAATACACCGCATATATTCTTCTTAGTGGTTAATTGCTGTACAAGATGCAGACTTGTGAACCTATTTACAAACACCATTAGAACAAATCATTCTATTCATTAAGAGAATGCAACTATATATCTATCCCAACCACTTTGAATACACAGATACAAAATGGACATTCATAGGTATACCCCATTTTTTCGAAGTTCCGTTATTGAATATTATAGGTGTGTAAACTCAGCAAAATATTCTAAAAGAGTCCAGTAGCCCATAATAGCATTGGGTCTTCTGTTTAACTGGCAATGTCAGAAATTATTGACCTGAGTCCCCCACAGCTCAACTTAACAGCATGGCTTTATTTCCTATATTTCGTCTTCATACTTTTCTACTGGATGGTTAAGACCAAGGTAAAGCAGGACCTGTGCAACAAGAGTTGTAGCTTTTTGGTCTGAGAAGGTCAGTGAAATGCCCTCAGGATTTATCCTGAGATCCTGTACCTCAGACTGTAGAACCTTTGTCAGTGTCAGCCATGTGGATGAGTCACGGCCAATGCTTGGCCAATGTGCTCTCTGTGAAAGCCTGAGAGAGTGTCTTCTCCCCATTATACACAAATCTTAATACCTTTTCTTCATTCTCTTTCCCTTCCCTTCCTCTGTCCTCCACTCATCCCTTTAGTTTATTTATTATAATTTTATTTTACTTTGAAGAGTAAAAACAAAAGCAAGAACAAAAATCATAAAGACAGAAACAGGGTAATACACAACCCTTTAGTTTTTGATATTACTCTTTTAACTTTAACATGTACATTTTAAATAACAGAACAAATTAACAACTACATAAATATAGAGTTTTTAATAAGAAAAAAATTTTTACCATCTTCCTAGCAACTCTCCCCAAGAATACAGGATTTTCTCAGGACAATCTTTAGACACATCACCTGTTCCACTTGAGAGTTCATTATCACTCTCTGCAGAAAAAAAACACAAAACCAACACATCACATTTTATAGTCGGCATTTACATATTATAAAACAAGAAACATGACTGAATATATGTCTAGTAAAAGGTGAAAGAGTGTTGCTTTTTATATTATTATACAGTGCAAAAATAACAGCAAAACTTTCATTAATCCCACTTATTAGTGCCCCAATAAATATTTGAAATAATTTTATGAAAATTCTCATCCAGTTCATAAAGCATGAAACTGAAAATATCTATAATAAAAAGCCAAAGAAAAAACATTATGATGTCTTCAAGATGACAGAACAGGAAGTCTTAGGCCCACTTCTCCCCCAAAAAAGTTCAACTATCAACTCTCCATAGACCCAAACACCACTAAAATCTGAAAACGAGCCTGAAGCACCCAAATAGTACGCAGAACTGAACAAAATTCAAATAAGAAGCATAAGAGCAACAGTCTTATGTCACCAACTATGTCACTTTTTTCCCTTCCCCAAGTGGGCTCATGGCCACATGGAGAGGAATTCCTCAGGCTTAGTTTCTGTGAGGTAACCATCCACCTTCCCTAGCATGCTATGATGCTTCCTAGGAAGACCACTCTGGTTTCAATTTAAAAGGAATGCTATAGCAAATGGCATGGACGGACCACCCAGAGGTTGGATAAGAACAAAAAAATAAACATTACATGAATTTTGGTGTTACCTCTGCATTCCTACCAGCTTAGGTGTTCAGAGATAACAGCCAACCTCAGAGGGTGCCTGCAAAGTTAGTCACATTTAGAAACAGAGTAAGAATAACAATCTAAGTTGAGCCCTGAGACTGATCTTCACACCCAGCCCCCAAATCACCCCAATAATCTTACCCAAGCAAAATCTCCCACCTTTATGGATTTGAGAGAAGAAGTTATGATAACTTGGCCTGAAAAGATAGAGCCACACAGCCAAAATGCCAACAACTCTGTGCAGGTAGGGAGACTTCCACCTCCATGGATGTCAAAGAAGTGAGGAGGCTACAGCAGCTTCACTAGGAAGGAAAGCAGTGGCTCCATTTGGCCAAAAGACCCACACACACACAAAAAAAAAAAATCCACTCAGCCAGGAATAATCCAAATTTTGTGCTGATTAGAGAAGCACAGAGACTAGGAGCACTGAATCCAGAAAGACAAACAACCATTCAAGTCAACCAAAAGCACAACCCATAGTTCCACTCAGAGTGGGAATCCTCAATCCTCCATTTCCAAGGAATATGTTTTGGTCTCACCTGACCAACACATCAACTCCTAGCCACAGAGATCAACCTGCACCCAATCCACCAACAGATCTTAAATAGTAGAATTACCTGGCCAGGAAATACATTTTGTGGCAAACCTAAGAAGAAGTAATCATAGGTCTGCCAACAGGTCTGCCAAAGAGCACAGTCCAGCCAGTGGTCTCACCAGATGGCAGAGCCCAACCAGAAGTCTCACTTGGCATCCAGGCAAAGCTACTGGGCCAGTCAATTAGAGAACTCATAATAAGCTCATAACATGATTACCTACAATCATCATGAGTTGGCACTTCCCAAATCACAGAAAAGATAACTAGCAAAGCTCTACCTCTACCGTAGAACACATGTAAAGGCCAGAAGTAGGCGATGTCTATAAAACAATGAAAGGACATAAAGGTTATAAGGAATCAGTGGGGAAAAAATTTTTCATAAATAATACCTAAGAGAGTAAATAATAACCAGACCTATAAGAAATGCTGAAAAGCTACAGATGACAAGTACATAGCTAACACTGAGTTCAATTCCTAGTACCAAAAAATAAAGTAAAATAAAATAAAATTATTAAACTAAGCGTGGTGGTTAATTGACTAAAGGTCAACTTGAGTGGGGATGCCCAGCTGAATTAAATCAGCATGGTTCTGGTATGAAAGACCCACTTAAGGAAGCTTGTTGTCAGGAAAAGTACAAGAAGAGAATGAGAGGGGCCAGAAAGATAGTTCAGGGGACTAAGCACCTGCTGAGGCAAGCACAGGGATGGTTGGGTCTCCTGCACCACATATCGTGGAAGCCTTACCCCAGGGTGCACCAAACTGAACACCAAGATTGGATGGACATGGTGGCACATGCCTGTAATCCCAGCACTGGGAAGGCTGAGACAGGAGGATCACTACAAGTCAGAGCTATACAGCAAGACCCTGTACTAAAAACATTTAAAAAAAAAAAAAAAAAACCAAGGTGAATGAGAGAGAAAGATGTAAGCCGATCTTCTTTGGAAGTGCTTCATTATGGATGATTTTCTTTCTTTCTTTCTTTCTTTTTTTTTTTTTTTTTTTTTTTAGGGAAGGGTCTACAGGGTATTCAGGGTCTCACTACTAGATCAGACTCAGTGATCTGCCTGTTTACAGACTCCCAAAAGCTGGGATTACAGGCATGCACCACCACACCCAGTCTCCATTGCCATCTCAGTGCACCCCGGGGGTGGGCCTGGCACAGCAGGCCCAAGGATCGAACCCCTGGCCCTTGCACCTGGCCTGGATGATTTTCCCTGGTCTTTGCCTTCTTAGGCAATCATCTCCAGGTTCTTGGTGCAGACTCTCTAGCACCAGTACCAGCCCTTGGGCCTGTCGGTATGGATGCTTCAGTCTTCCACCACAAGCTCCTCAACCTCCTGATAGGGACTCATCACAGACACTACCATATGCTCCAGTCCTTCAGCTGGATTCTTTGGATCCTCAGCACACAGAGATCTCTTGCAACTTCTATATTTTACTCCAGGAGTGGATATTGTCAGCTAGTCTTGTAGGAAATTTCTGTGTTCTGCATTACATCTGTTTCTATTGCAAATACTGACTATAATAACCCAGCTTAAACAAAAATCTGGATAGCAAGTACACTACCAAGGTTTTATCAGTGCTGTTATACGATTACAGTACAACAGGGACTGCTATAAAGCACCTCTCAAAGGAGTTTGAACAGTATTATTTAGCATGTTAAAAAAATCCAATGATCAAATTTGATAAGACCCTCTCTCAAAATAAAAAATTTAAAAAGCACTGGCAATGCAGCTCCATGCAAAGGGCCTACGTTCAATCCCAAGTATTATAAAATAACAACAATAAAATAAACCAACAATCTAAGTATAAAGTTATTCACATCTGAGGATACACACAATACTTAAATTTCTATTAAATTAAGGTTTTATTTGGACAGGTTAACAGATTTGGTGACAGCATACAAAAAGATTTAATCACAAATTTAGTAATACATAATCAAAAACACGTGCACAACATGCACACACAAACCTTCACCATTTTTAGAATACCAGATAAACAAGAATAATGAAGGATCTCTTACTCAAAAGGTAAACAACATTCTGAAAACTAAAATGAAGACAAAGACAATGAAGACCAACTAGCATGACTGATATGGAAATACCTAATATAAGCAACTCTAATGAAGCTATTAAGTATATCATGAATATAACAGAATAAGAGCCTTTTTAAAGTTAAAGCAAAAGAAATGCAGTCTTAGTATCAGAATACAGCAAACAGAAACAACTAGATTTAGCATTACAATATCTTAAAGTACTATGCCATGTAAACACCTATCCAACATAAGTCCTATAATTTTTTACGTAAGTCACTTTAGAAAAAAGGAAATATTAAAAATTACACTACTAGAATAGGTTAAACTCAGACCATCACAAGCAAACAGACTCTTGGTGTTACCTTACTGATCAATGAAATAAAACCAAGATCCCAAAATACTTAAAAATCTGACTACCTATAAATTTAATTCTATGAAGTAAGGTATAGACTATATCTTTTCAAAAACTAAAAGAAGTTTCTAACATCAGACAATGTCTGTTTTCTCACTACTATGTTGTTTATTCACTAAAATAAACAACAGAGACTGTGGAGATAGTTCAGCGGTCTAAGCACCTGCCTAGGCAAGAGCAAGAACAGGAGTTCAATACTGGGTACCACATGTGGTGCTGGCCCCGTCTTGTGCACGAAGAGCCAGCCACCAAGACCAGGTATGATGGTGCACACCTGTAACCCAGCGCTTGGGAAGCTCAAACCAGAGAATCATTATAAGTTTGAGCTGTGTAGTGAGCCCTGTACCAAATACATAAAATTAAAAATTTAAAAAGTAAATAAAATAAATAATAATCCAGAAAACTGAACCAAAGTATGAAAAGGATAGAGGTAAAAATATATAAAATAAAAATAGCCTATAAAGACAGTAAAGAAAGTCCTCTGTTAATCAGCTCAAAATAAAAATTAAAATAACATTTTCCCATTAAATTGGAAAGGTGTGAATGGCTAGTTTTCTGGTAAGTATAAACAGGAAAGAAAGTTAGTGTTTAAATAAGAGAAATAATTCATTAGGAGTCTAAATTCATACACTTTTAACCTAGCAGTTCCACTTCTAAAATCTTATTCTCCAGAAACATGTCCACCAGAAAGATAAATTAAAATTATTTTCATTGTATCACTTCTAATATAGAAATTCATCTACAAATTATGGTGTATCCATTCAAGACAATACTGTCCAGTAGTATAGAAGAATGGGATATATCTGTACAAACTAAGAATACCTAATCCAAAAGCCCCAATCCAAAATGTCCCAAAAGGCCAACATCATACTCAAAAACATTCAGATCTCATATCACTTCTGATTTCCAGATGGTGGATGATCAACTGGTACACTCTATACAAATCCTCCCAAACCCTAAAACGCCACACAATCTGAAACACTCTGCTCCAAGCACTGCATGTAAGGGATACATGCATATTAACATTAAAAAATGTTAAATATATTTGATGAAAAATAAGAAACAGAAGAATGGCTTTCAAGTTTGGCTTTCTTCTCATCAGTAACATCACTAATTTTATTACATAAAATTTTTTGTAAAGTCTATAAGGATATGCAAGAACTTATGACCCACAATTTATTTTATTTTATTTTAATTTGAAGAGTGAAAAGAAACAAAAACAAATAGAAAAAGATGATAGAAACA